CGAAATAAGTGCTGTGTAGATGCTCCCAATTTTGAGTTAAGGCCTGCTGTGTAGATATGCCCTAAGAGTGTTATTAAATAGAGTACAGGCAGTCCCCAGGTTACATGGATCCGACTTACATCAAATCCCTACTTACAAATGGGGTGCGGCAACCCTGCACTAGCTGCTTCCCCCCAGCAGACCAGGGAGATGTGAAGCTAGCGCCCCCCCAGCAGACCAGGGAGACGCAGAGTGCTTTTCTCAGCAGACTCCTCAGCTTGAGAATAAAGGACTGAGGGAAGTGAGGTGTGGGAGAGTAAAACTGAGCTCTGGAGAAATGTTTGGCTAGAGTTTCCCCTACAATATGTACCAGTTCCGACTTACATACAAATTCAACTTAAGAACAAACCTACAGTCCCTATCTTGTACGTAACCCGGGGACTGCCTGTATTGCAATAACTTTGGATCTGGTTTTTTCCCACTACTAAAAAAGTCAGAGTTAAAATGTGAATCTGAAACCTGACACACACACAGTTTTTGTCTATATGCAGAGGTTTACTGGGGAGGTGGGGGTTGGGGGGGTGGAGAGTAAAGTAAATTAGTTAAGCTCACTTTTACTCATGGAATCATTAAAATGATGTGGCTATTGACAAGTATCTTTGCAACTTGAAACTGGTACAATTATATGGAACAGAAATCTTGGGCTTGATTCTTCTGCATGGGAGCTAACGTGATGCAACTTCATGTGTGGATGCTCATAAATAGATTTAAGAACAGGACAAGCTAAATGGAGAATTCAGTTTTAAACTTCTGTACATATGTCCACACAAGGGGTTTCAGAAGTTTAATTAAACTAGTGCAACTTCACATGTAGACAAACTTCAGCAATGTGGAATTGTGTCCTAAATTCACTACCTCAATTAGAAAGCTGATCAAGTAATTCAATTGCAGTAAATAATACTAGGTCAAAATATGTTACGCCTGTATGGGTTACATAGGTTCATAGTGAAAATAACTCTGCATCAGAAGCTACTAAAGTTATGGTGGTTTTCAGTTCAGTTCCATGAAAATGGAAGGTGGATACTGTAGATAGCGCTTATGCATTTTAGTGCTTTTGTCCTAATCATTGCTTTCATAGTCCATATTGTGTTGATCAACACCTTTTAGTGATTCCCATGTTCTAGGAAACCTATAATTTATTTATGCAGAAAATTAATAATATATTTTAAAGTACAATGAACTCTTTTAACACCTATTATCAGGGATCAAGTCTAAGAGGGTACAGTGTGTATTTATCCAGAAAAAAACACTTATTAGATATTTGGAGAGTATGGATAGGGAAAATTTCAACAGGCCTCTAACAAGACTCCTCAGTTTGTGAATTTAGATTCCACTCCTGCAAACAGGATCTGTTATAGATGTGAGTTTTTCTTTACTGCCCCTTTCAGGTTTTTGTTGACTCTTAATGTTAAATCTGAGTCCTTCAAGTTTTTCTTTAAGATTTTTCCTTCTAAGTTGTTTGCTAGTTATCACTCAGATATCTCCTTTTACTCATTGCTTTTCTCATTTCTGGCTTCTGACTTCTTAAATCTATGCAAAATTTCAGAAGAGTAAGGAAGCCTCTACAATCTGTTGTCTTCCAGAAATTGCAAGGGCATGCAGGTTGTTTATTGTTACTGTAGGACTTAAGAAATAGGCTTGTGGCATTCAGGTGAAGATCACACTGAATTTCATACAAAAATGAAATTGTGATTATTAATGAAATATCTGCCCTCCTCTTCCATTGAACTCTCTTGTGCTTTCACTGTTGTTCCCTTATGAAAGCAAGCAGCAACTTATAAACACTCTGGTCTGAAATGTGGCACTGAAAAAAGGTACAAGTTGTCCTCTGAAAAGAACTCCACTCATCTAATGGGTCAGAGGTCCACTTTGCTGGCTTCTATAATGGAAAGCCTTACCGTGTGTGTGTAGATAGATTTATTTTACTTTTCCAATTCAAAGATATTAGGAATGTAACTTTAATGAGAAATATAAAGCAATTGATAAAATAAGGATGGACACTGGGGCAGTCAGTTTTGAGTCCACAAAATGTGATCTTATTTGGCACCCTGAGATGCACCCTGTTTCTGTGTTCTTCAGCAGCATTGATGGTAGTGCTGGAGTACAATAGGCTGAGAGCTAAGCTATACTGAAATCCTTTCAGGGTTTGCCCTCTTTTTGAAAAAGTACTGTCAAGTCTCTAGCTCCAGTGAATTGTTTTTGTAGCAGGATTCTGAGGCATGTCTTCAGTAGGAAATACCACAGGAAGACTAAGGCTATGTCTATACTACAGCTTATGTTGACATAACCTAAGTCACTTGGGGGATAAATAGATCACCTACCTGAGTGATTTCAGTTACACCAACATAAGTGCTGGTGCCTGCAGGAGCTTAAGACGTTAAATCAATGGGAGAGCTCTCTCCTTTCAGCTTAGAGTGGCTGCACCAGAGAGCGGACAGCAGCACAGCTGCACTGGGGCAGCTGCACTTCAGTAAATGTTGTAGTGTAAGTATGCCCTAAAATCTCCTTCAGATACGTGAAAGAGACTCCTCCCTTTGGAAAGAACAAAGGCCTTACCCACATGGGAAGTTTTTTCAGTATAGCTTTTTCCACTATAACTATACTGGCAGGTTCTGTATCCTGACAAGGTCCCAGGGCTGCAGAACTGGGGCTGGAGGAGTTCTGTGTCCCTGCTAGTTAGTGGTAGGACCCAGGCCCCTTCTTATCTTCCCGTGTGCATTCTCCTGTATATTGGCATTACTGTGATGAAAGAATGTGTCAAGCACGTCATTGTTTATGCCAGCCTTAGTTATGTCACTTGTGAATCAAAGTATTTGTGAAAGGAAACATTATTAAAATGGTCCCATTTGTAAGGAATCCAGAATGTAATGTAAAATATGTTAATCTTTGAAGTAAGCCTCAACATTACCAGAGAAGGTTAAAAGGATAGGCCCAACCTGCAAAACTTGTATCTTGAGTAAATGTGATTTTTGTTAATACTCATATTTCTGTGTGATAGATGCAATACATTGGAAACACAGAATATTCAAAGACTTTTACATTGAGATGTGACAAATGCTATGGATACCTGAGAATATTCACAGACTATTTCATTACCTTTGTATGTTATATGTATCTTTATGCTAGTGATTGTATTTCTAGGTCAATGGGTGAGACAAATGGTTCCAAATGAAATTCACCAATTAAAATCACTGGGCAAGGGGGCAGGAAATAATGCAAATTTTAATGCAAGTAACAAGTATGTGGAAGTTTCATACCCAGAGGAGATAGCACATATATCAATTTGTCCTGTTGAAAAGGCCTGGCAAACAAAGAACTGTAAACTGTATAAGGAGGTTGTTCTTATCTGGCAATTGTCATGAAACAGTTCAGGCCATGTTGAAAGTGCCTGAAGCACTTTAATTTTATCTGAGTCACCATATGGAAGATAGCTGACTGCCTGGTAAATTTGATCTGCAAATAAACTGTTTATTTTTATTATATATTTTCTCTGTAATGCTATTTAATCAGAACAAAAGCACTTTGCCTTATGAAAGCTTGATGGGCATTGGTTAACTCTGTTATTGCTACTGAGAGAACAGGACTGCAAGGGTACGTCTAGACTACATGGCTCCATCGACAGAGCCATGTAGATTTCTTTGTTCGGAAAAGAGAAATGAAGCCTCGATTTAAATAATCGTGGCTTCATTTAAATTTAAATGGCTGCCGCGCTGAGCCGACAAACAGCTGATCAGTTGTTTGTCGGCTCAGCACGCTAATCTGGACGCTCCTCTGTCGACATGAAAGCCCTTTATCGACCTCCCCGGTAAACCTCATCGTACGAGGCATAACGGGGAGGTCGATAAAGGGCTTTCAGGTCGGTGCGGGAGCGTCCAGACTAGCGCGCTGAGCCGACAAACAGCTGATCAGCTGTTTGTCGGCTCAGTGCGGCAGCCATTTAAATGTAAATGAAGCTGCGATTATTTAAATTGCGGCTTCATTTCCCTCTGCCGATCAGCCTAATCTACATGGCTCCATCGACGGAGTCATGTAGTTTAGACACACCCTAGGTGCTGACCTATAGTGAGATGGCCTAAGAGAATCACAATGAATTACAGGAATCTGCAGTATAAATCCCCAGTCTGGAGAAAGGGCATTGTGGGATCCATTTCCAGAAAGGTGAAAGCTAGAGATATGAGAACTAAACAAGATGCCCTCAAAGAAGTCATGCATGGGTCAAAGGTGCAGTTATTTTGGAATTGTGACATATTGTTCTAAAACCTAGCTGGACCCCTGGGGAATCAAGTGGAATTTCTCCTAAATATTCAGAAAAAATTCTCCTCATTCCTATTAAGTAGGTCCAGGTTTTCACCCTTCAAGAAATAAAAAAACAGTTGGAATACAAATCCTGAATTTAAGAATTTTTGCAAAGTGAGAGTTTCACAAGCTCTGTAAGCTTCAAGTTTCACACTGATTATGCTACAAATAATATGCTTATGGCTTGCTTTAGAAAGGGGAAATTTACTTCTGTTGCCAATGCAGCACTACAGTTGCCTACTTGCCTGAAAGTTTGGGATATCAACAGATTGCTACCTGGTTTTTAATTAGGAGTGACAAATTTACAGTAGACCTCTGGCGGCTGACATGTCTGCAGATACTATATGCTTTGGGGAAAGTCTATAGGCAGGCTGGATTGTGTCACATATTTCTGGCCTCTCATTTCTAATCGCTGAAGTAACTTTTTTATTATGGTGCTTACTGGGACCTCAGTAACTCAGGAAAAACGTCTCTTGAAGTCAGTGGTGATTTTTGTCTGAGTAAGAACCACATAACAAGACTCTAGTTTTTTATTGTAGATGCTTCAGTTCAATCAGGAAGTTGTGACGCAGGATATGGGCTGGGTTTGAGGTTTTGGAAACCTTTTCTAAAAGTCTATCTCATTGCCCCTCGTTTTATTTCCTAAGTGTGAAGCTGTAGTGAAGAGTGGCAGAGTGTGGAGGAATGCAAGCCAAAATGCAGACTCTTGTGAGACGTAATGGGAGGATTTTCCTGGCTGTTTGTATAATCCTCTTTATGGGATACTCAGCACAAGGTAAAACAGTGAATGGTTGTTATTTCTATAATCCTCTTTCTAAACTATGTAGTATAGGCCAAGTAAGGTACTGTTGATTTTAAAGAAGAATTCTGACAATTGACCTTAAAGTAGAAATAATAAAACCTACTTTTTATAAAATGATTTTTTTTTGTTAAATTTTCCATCAGCATAACTTTTTGTATCATGCAAATTGTGATAAAACTGCCTTTGGCAAGTGGATCTTTTCTGTCCTTCTTATGTAGATGTTATGTGTAGTTAGTATTAGAATTTATTTTATAAAAATGATGTAATTGATGGCTATAAAAAGTTATCGAAGTTCTATCTATATGAATTTCTTAGCCAACTGTTTTTGTAGTGGGTGAAATACATCAACATCGTGCTATTATCTGAGTAATTTACAGATTTTTTCATTCAACTGAGTCTGAAATACAGCAATCTAAAATGGATCTACATTTCAGGAAGTAAGGACTTCAAGTAGACCTTTATTGGAGTTGTTTCAATCAACAATAAGGCTGATAAATCACCTATAGATAATATGTAAAATTACAGAAAGTTACTTTGTAAAAGCAGCTATGGTGCCCAATTTTGCTCTCATTTATACCCTTTCAATGTATTGACATTAATGTGTTTGTTTTGGGATTATAACAGATTGTTGAATGTAAGATCTTAACAGTTAAGAAAATATTTGAGAAGATGCATATTTCTCATATTATAGATTCATTTTTTTCATGGGGAAATAGGACATTTGTGTAAGTATGGGGAAGTTAAGGGTTTTATTCAATACAGCAAGAATTACAACACCATGCACTATAACAGCTAAAAGGAAACGTTGGTTCACAATGACACAGACATCCTGGACTTATTAGAGACATCTAGTTTTCAAGCTATATACGTGTATTTCCTGTAGAGATATTATCACAGTTATCTGCATTAATTAGATACCTACTGGTGTTTCCATCCTAAATATTATTTTCTTTGGTTGATTATTACCTGACTTTTATGCACACAAAAGGCATGGTACTTTCTACATTTATTATACACAGACTTTATTTTTAATAATATACAAATAGAATAACAATTAAAAGAAAAGACTCTGAGAGAGATGTGAAATAATTGTTATAAGTAACTCTCCAAGCACTTTCTGTCTCCTGTAGAAGAAATGTGTGTATCAGTGTCGGAACAGGTTTTAACCCACTGGAGGAAAGAATGTGCTTGGAGAGTTACATTGTACCTTGGAAGAGTGATTCAGTACAACATGGTAATAGACAATGTTACAAGGGACTGTAGTTACCAAGAAGAGACATTTTCAAAGAATAAAACGAAATTAGATGGAAATACCCAGAGAAGGAGAATATAACATGAGGATTCAGATGCGATTAGTTAATGACAGCAAAAGAAGAATGAAAATTTTGGTTTCAAACAGTTGTTTGTTGGTTTATTTTTTATTTTGCAACTTAAATTTAAAAAAAAAAGCTTTTTCAAAATTAGATGTGAATGTAGGTTAGACACTGAGGGGACGGGAGGAAGTGAAAGAGCATCTGAAAAGTGTTTAGTGAATATCTGCAGCAGCTACTTTCCAAGTCAGTAAATACACACTGCACTCTATGCTACAGAGCCTTATTATTAATGTAGAGATCCCACAGGAGGGTAGGGAGGAAATCTCTGTTAGGGTTCTTAATTCTGTTGGGGAGGTTGGTTACCTTTGACATTCTGCGGCATCTGCGGAAGGGTAGGGAAATCCACAGAAAGGCTCTCAGTCTCCACGCCAGCTCTGGCACCTGGGAGCTATAGTGTGCTCGGCACTTCATAAGATTAGAACCATACTTTGCACATTGCTATGTGCCTTTCCAGCCTCTGTGTGTCTTTTTCATCCCTGTCCGTATAATTTGGAAATCTACTCTTTTTGGCATGAGAGACATCGAACTTTATATAGCTGTTTCACATGGAATTTCTGTAGTGTTTGGAAGCTGTGCGCATATGGATGTAATATGGAATACAGGAATATTACTGATTAATTAAAAAATATCTTGCCAGAATTGTTTATGGTTGGGCAATTACTAAATACATGCATACAGTTATAACTGCCAGTTTCCTAATCAGATGTTCATAAATTAACATAGTCCATAATATTGACTGCATTCATTCATACTAATAGTGTACAAATAATTTGATCAGGTGTTCCAGTGCAGAAAGCAAGATTCCAGAGGGTAAGATGCAGACCAGACATCTTGTCTGCTAACTGCATTGAAGAAAAAGGACCGTTGTTTGAAATTTCTGAAGGTGGAGCTAACAGAATTCTCCCTCCCAAGGCTGATCCATTTCTGTAAGTAAATGAATTAACCCCTCAATATTTGTGGTTGACATCAATAAGCTTTCAGTATTCCTAACTAAAGTGCTTACATCTTTGACTTCTAATATACATAAAAACTGCCATTGTAGATCAGACCAATGGTCCATCTAGCCCAATATCTATCTTCCAAGAGTGGCCAGTGCCAGATGCTTAAAAGAACTGGAAACCAAGTGATCTATCCCCCACTGTTCATTTCCAGCTTCTGGCAAACAGAGGCTAGAGACACTCAGAGAATAGGATTTCATCTCTGACCTGCCTGGTTAATAGCCATTGATGGGTCTATCCTCCGTGAACATATATAGTTCTTTTTTGAACCCTGTTATGGTTTTAAATATCTATCTATCTATCTATCTATCTATCTATCTATCTATCTATCTATCTATCTATCTATCTATCTATCTATCTATCTATCTATCTATCTATCGTTATGCATTTGATTTTCTTTTGCATGTTGAAAGAGTCTGAATTTTTAAAAGTAATAGTACAAACATGGCCTGATTTTGAAAATTACAGTAAACTAATGTGGATGATTATCATATTTCATTAAAGCCTAAGGAGACAAATTAGTATATTGAGCAGAATTTGTCATAGCCAATCAGGTAAATACCCATTAACTCTGGTATCTCATCATATGGAGTGACAAATCCTTCATGTTTCTAAAGAGGGCACAAATAAACTAGCCACTTGTGCTTATGTATGTCAGTGCGGGAATGGAAATATTGTTTCCTGACTTCAGCATATGTTCATAAGCTTGAGGCTTGAATGCCATTATTTAGCTTGTATAATTATAAATGTTGTTGGTCAGAAAATTTCTCTCTAAAAAAATCCATTGATGGTATTTGACCTCCTGGAGGAGTCCGTTCTCAATTTGACTGCAAGCTGTGTAAGGTATTTCCTTCTATTGATCTAAATTCACCTGCTAGTAAGGGTTTGGGGACCCTGGTTAATCCTGAGTAATGTGACCTCTTTAAGCAATGGATATAAGGTGCTTCACACTGAGAAAACCACAAGAATACTTTCTAAAGATGAATCTTGGAGCTTAAAATAATAATTTTTCTAGACACTACAAATCATTAACTTAATCAGGAGTCTCAAACTCCCAGCCCGCAGGCCATCTCCAGTCAGAGCAGTTGTGCAATCCAGCCCAGGAGTATTAGTGGGTTGGGGGTGGGGCTCTCCATTTCCATACTCCAAGCTCCGCCCGTTCCTGCCACCTCCCTGCCCTCTCTCCCGGATAGTACCCTGTCTATCAAGGAAGCAACCTCAGGGATATCCAGGAGGGGCCTGGCATGGTGCAGCAGCAGTGGTCAGGCCTCCTGCACTCCTCATGGCAGTGGGAGCCACAGAGAAGTGGAGTGCAGTCAGCGAGTGCACTTGCTTTGCTTCCCTACATCTCTCACCACAGTGGAGAATGCAGGGGGTCCTGATTGCTGCTGCTGTGCCCTGCCTATAAATCTATGAGGCCACTCCCTCAATGGATGGGATGTCATGAGGGGAGAGGGTGGGTAGGTAACAGGAAGGGGCAGAGCTTGGGGGACTGGAATGGGCACGTTCTCCCTACCGCCCCCCAGCCTGCTGGTACTTCTGGGCAGATTACGCAACTACTCTGGCCAGTGATGGTTCTCAGGCCGAGAGTTTGAGACTCCTGATCTTAATAAAGACACTGGATTTATGGCTTTTTACAACAATCTATTATCCATAACCCCTCTTTTTGTCTTATGACTAGAGGTCAATGGTCTCTCAGTTAAGTATAGTTAGCACATATGCTATCTGTTTGACCTTGCATTTAGCTGTGACAGTCTATTTTGTAGACCTGAAGAAGAGGTCTGTGTAGCTCTAAACGGCATGTCTCTCTCACCAACAGAAGTTGGTGCAGTAACAGATATTACTTCACATAACTTGTGTCTCTGAGAAACAATGCAGTTCAGTATCAGCTATTGGATATTAAGCAGAATGGGACAATCACATTTGTCCTTGTGAATAAATTTTGATTGTTATTTTTCTTGTGTATTTCAGGATGAAAAGATTTCAGGAGCAATCTGGTATTTTCCAATTTTATGGTGAGGAATCTGGATCTGGGACTGATGACATACCTGAAACAGAACCAGAATCTGGATCAGGAATTGATTATAATGTTGAATATCCTAACTTTTCATCTTCTGGCTTTGTTCAAAAAGAGGAGTTGAAGCAGGAACTAACAAATGAAGATTTAATGCTGTAAGAAAGAAGACTTTATCTCTATCATGAAGTTTATTTACAATACTTCTTCTATGTTGTATAACTAAGTGAATAGTCTTACGACAAACAGTTTTATAAACATTATAAAAACCGCCTTTATAATCTTTATTGCTTTTCCTTGCTGAAAAAAAACTTTGTTAAATGCAACCTCACTCTAAATGTATATGTACAGTATATGTCTAAGCTTAGAATATTTCTGAAATCATGGGGAAATTTAATTTAAAAGCTCCATGATAGTCTCACTTGAGACAAATATTAGTATAGAAAAGAAAATGACTGGAAGAAATTAGGTATGTGTATTCATGCAGCAATCCAGGAGTCAGACACATACAAAGTTGATGTAACTAAAAGTAAACTCCCCCAAATTTTTTCTTTGCTCTCCCTAGACAATTTTTCCCTATAAAGTACTAGTAAGCTTATATGTAAAATTAATTATTTGATATTATAAATTGTATTCCATGTTATACAATAACGAATACAATGTTATTTTAATAATTGGACTTTTTACAATATTATAATATGATTTTAGCTTTCCCTGTTAGTAGAAATGACAGACCCTGTAGGTCCAAGAATCATAGTACCTTCTACATTCCTTCTATGTTACTATTAATAAAAGTGGTTAAAGAACAACTGCACTTGTTATATTTTTAAATTGCAGATTGAATATTTTTCCTTGTATTTACATCTATTAGTTGTAATTCTATTAAAACTTCAATGTAGCCAAATACTGTTTTTTTCTTTAAGTGCTGGAGCATTCAAAAATATAGGTAGTAATGAACAATAAACAATTTTGGTTTCTAGTAGCCATTCTGAAAATAGAATCTAAAATATTCTAGTTGTGAAAAGGTTGTAATCAGAGGCATATTAAATCCATTGCTGCCGAAAATCCACCATTTTTGAGGATTTAAGATCTTTCCACAAGTTTCCCAGATTTTAAATTATCATTTAAAATGTATTTTAAAATACAATAATTTCTAGTTCCTCCAGTTGCTGATCACCCACAACTCATAATGAAGTCAGTGCTAATTTTGCCATTGATTCATAGGGAGCAGGATTAATTTTAGAAAGTAATGGAGACATTATCTCTGCTGACTAGGAAATACTTGCAATTGTTTGCCCAAATGCTTTTATGTTTGATTTTTCTACTCTGATAGAAAGAGAATGCTTTAGTATTTCATATGAAATAACCCTCAGCCCCATCACAGTCACTTTTCCATCCCTTTCACATGCTGATTTTTCTGACAGTGGTCTAAAAACTTAGTCCTAGATTTATTCAGAAGAAGGGGATAACAATATTGTGGTCTACAAGGAAGAACAATGTACTTGGTAACACAGACAACTGTTAAAATTATTAATAAAATTTTAACAGGTTGCATGAAGGTTTACAGAACAAGTGTCACCATTCTCCCATGATAACAACTGCCTTTTAAATAAAATGTAAAAAACCAAAACTATCTCTCTATCACAGAAATAATATTGGAGGTACACAATATTCTGTTTTTAAATATAAATCAAGCACAATTCTATAGGCAGTAATATAATGATGGTAATATTGACTGAGTTTACTGGAGCACAGTAAACACAGCTGTGGCTCCCCTTTGCTGCCAATGGCGAACTGCAGCCAATGAGGGCTGCAAGGCTCTGTAGCTGTGGAGCTGGTAAGTAAACAAAACAGAGTGGCCTGGTAACAGCTTTCTCAGAGTGGGTTCACGGTCCACTTTGAGAAACACTGTACTGGAAATAATTGCTTCATTCAAAGGACCTAACCCAGCAAACCACTTAACTGTGCGAGTAGTTCAAGTCAATAGAACTACTTGTGCTTGAAGCTCAGCATGAGGTTAGGTGCTTTGCTGGATTGTGGCTAGAGTCCTCAGCAGCTTGCAGGATTGAGACTAGGGTTGCCAGGTGTCTGGTTTTGAACTGGATAGTCCAGTATTTGAGCTTTCTGTTTGGGAAACAAATTGAGAAAATATAAATGTCTGGTATTTTCTAAATAAGATGTAATGTCGATTGTGATATAATGCCAAGTGTGTCCGGTATTTTTATTGAAACCATCTGGCAACCCTAAATTTGAGACCAATGATAGCAAAGCACACAGAAGATAACTGCGTATACCAAGTAACAGTGCCATCTGGTGCTGAAACTACAAGCCTACATTTTAACAAGCTAAACTTTCAAATACCCAACGTGTTGGTCATCTAAGTATTTGTTCCAAAACATGGACTGGAAAATAGATTGGTAGTGTGACTATAACAAAGAGTTCATAATTCCAGATGTACTTTTAATATAAACAATGATTCTCAACTGTTAAAGATTACCTTCGCAGTTAGTACAATACATTAGGTTTCTCCATCTACTTCTGATGTTTCAAGTAGTACTGTTGGATGTTTTTCTTTGGTATTGTTGTTGTAAGCTCTACCATTTTTCTGATGGAAGCATTGACTGAGATCTGAATGTCCTGAGACTATCTAGTGCAGTGATGGGCAAACTAGGCTACTGAATGGGTTACATGAGTGGCCTGCTATCATATCACTGGGCCACAAGATTGTCCTAACCAAAAAGATCTCATGGGATAGGGTAGTTTTGCTAACTGTTCTTATGTACCTAGAATCCAGCAACCCTGCTAATGGGCAATGGTAAACAAAATGTCTCATGTACCACATGCAGAACCCCAGTTGACAGCAAGCAAAGCATTATATTGGGACTTAGGATTTCTTGGCTCTTAACCCCATTGTAGATCATAGAATCATAGAACTGGAAGAGACCTCAGAAGGTCGTCAAGTCCAGCCCCCTGCTCTAGGCAGGACCAATTCCAACTAAATCAACCCAGCCAGGGTTTTGTCAAGCTGAGACTTAAACACCTCTAGGGATGGAGACTCCATTACTTCCCTAGGTAACCCATTCCAGTGCTTCACCACCCTCCTAGTGAAATAGTTTTTCCTAATATCCAACCTGGACCTCTCCCACCACAACTTGAGACCATTGTTCCTTGTTCTCTTTGGAACCTCCCTTCAGGAAGTTGAAGGCTGCTATCAAATCCCCCCTCACTCTTCACTTCTGCAGACTAAACAGACCCAAGTCCCTCAGCCTCTCCTCATAAGTCATATGCTCCAGCCCCCTAATCATTTTGGTTGCCTTCCGCTGGACCCTCTCCAATGTGTCCACATCCTTTTTGTAGTGGGGGGCCCAGAACTGGACACAATACTCCAGATGCGGCCTCACCAAAGCCGAATAAAGGGGAATGATGACATCTCTGGATCTGCTGGCAATGCTCCTCTTAATGCAACCTAATATGCCATTAGCCTTCTTGACTACAAGG